TTTTAGTTCTTTCCCTAAAATACTTTACCATATTAGCCTTATCCAATAACAAACTTTGTTTGAAATATATAATCTCCTATAACCTTTTGTTATAAATCATTAAACATTTTTTTTTACCATAAATATATATATATATATATATATATATATATTTATATATTTATTTATTTATAAATTTTTTATTTTAAAAATAATTATATTTAATATTTTTTTATAATATAAAATATTTAAATATAAACTCTATATTAATTTTTTAATGTTTAACTTTTTTTCCTTGTTATTTTTTTTTTACTAATAATATTAAAAAATATAGATAACATAATTTTTTTATCATTTATTAGATGTATCGTACCTAATATATGCATTAAAATTAGTATTAGGTTAATATTAAAGATTTATATTTTAAATGTTTTTAAAACAATTATTATTAGTAAGAATATTATATCCTAATTTCGTTTAATATTATAATTATTATTATTATTAATATTATTATTATTAATGCCCAATTTAATTGCTTTAAAAATAATTTTTTAATTTATATAAGAAGTTTAATTTTATTAAAAAAATTAAATTATTATTAATTATTAAAAAGATAATTTTAATTTTTATACAGTTAATTTATATTATTATAAAATAAATAATTTTTTCTTATAAATTACTTTATTACTATTATTTTTACTATTATTATTAAAATAATTATTATGATTATTATTATTATTATTACTATTATTACTATTAGAGCTTTTAACTTTCTCTATTTGTTTATCTTTACTATTATTCTATACAGCTATTTATTTCAAAACAATCATTTTAAAGTTTTTATTTAAACCTCTGTTCTAATAAACTCAAGCAACTCTAAATTTCTTTATCATCTATTTGAAAATTACTTATTTAACTTAATTCATAATTCCATATTGGTTAAATATTATTAATTTTTCTCAAAAAAGCAACACAAGCGCCTGCCAATATTTAAATTTCATATTAATAAAAGCTTTGATTCTTTTTTTTTTTTTCTTATAAAAATAAAACATACCTTTAATTATTAAATTTGCTAATTATATTGCCTGTTTTTCTATTTTTTATATTAAAAATAATAACTTTTCTTCATTTATTTAAGAAATTTTTTTTTTCTTTTATTCTATATTCTATACCCCTTTAAGATTTTCTTTATCTTAAATTTAAATATTATTAAAACTTTAAATTAAATTCTTTTAAATTTCATTTTAAAAAATATCAATATTATTTTCATCTTCATATATCAAAAAATCACTTGAAAAAACAATTCCTTGAGTTAAATAATATTATAAAATATCAATATTAGTTCCAAATTATAAATTAAAATTTAATTTTTATAATATTATTTGTTCTACATCTTTAATATCAACTGATTTAATATCTATTAATACACTATATTTTTTTAGTTTAGAAATAAAAGGAATTTTAGCATCTAATTCAATAGCTTTTGCAGCTACCATTAGGCATGTAGCTGCATATACTTTAAATTAAAAAGGCTAAATATTCAGATTTTATAATTAAATATAATCCATTATTATTATTGCTAAATGTAATGTATTTTATTAAAGTTATAATTATTAAGAAAGATTATTTATGAATTCTATTAAATAATCTCTAATCTATATATTTTATTTTATTTTAATATTTTTTTTTTTAATTTTTTTATTTTACTTTTAAACATAAAAAAAAAAAAAAAAAATTACTTTTTAATATTAAGAATCTTAATTATAAATTTTTATTTTTATTAAAATTTTTGAATTTTTTATCAATTATGCATATTGTTTTTTAGGGTCAATATAAGGAATATATTTATAAGTTTAAGTTTTATAAGCTTATGAATTTTCCTATTTTTTTTTTTATAAAAAAAAAAATGATATTTAATTATTTTTGTTTTTTTATTTTAATTACATGTATATTTATACCGCATAAAAAGCAATATAATGAATTTTTGAATTATACTTTATTTAAATGAAGACAATTAAAAAAATCTTATTTTTTATTAGAATTTTCTTAGTTAATTGCAAGTTTATTATAATCTTCTTAGTTGATAGGGAGTTTATTATAATTATTTATTTCTGAATTCATTTAAAATTATTTTTAAAATAATTTTTTTATATATTATAATATTATAAAATAATAAGTATTTAATAATTTATTATTTATTCATAATTATTTAAATTTATTTATTATTTTATTTTTAAAAAAAAAAAAAAAAAAAAAAAAAGTAAATTTATATATATAAAAAAATATTTAAATATATTTATATATATAAAATATATAACAAAAATAATTGTTTAAATATTATTTATAGTTTTTTTTTATATATAATAAAAAAAAGAAATAAAAAAAACAGCAACTAATAAAAAAATCTCAATAAATATAAATAAAATAAAATATTTTAAAAAAATTAAATATAATATTTTTTATTTATTTTAATTATTTAAATACAAAAAAAATAAAAAATAAAAAATAGAAATTTCATATAGATAATTTAAAAATTAAAATAATTTAAAAAAAAAAAATAAAAAAAAAAATTATCAAAAAAATATAAAATGTTTTATACTCTTTCTTCAATAAAAAAGCCTAAAAAAATTTTAACTTATTACATTTAGAATCAAATGAATATTATATTCTGTCATTAAACGTTGCATTAATAGTAGATTTACATTATGAAGAGTAAAATTAATTAAATAAAAAATAAAAATATTAAACTTTAATAATAGAATATAAGGTAAATTACATTTATGTAGCAGATCTTTAATTTTTGAACCTTAAGAAATAGATTTGCCATTATTAAAAATGAAATATTCAAACAATTTATTTTTAAAATTAGTTAAAGGAGTAAATCATTTAAAACTAAAAGCATTATTATTAACCTCTACAGAAATCAATAATTTAAATGTAAAATATAATAATTATAAATAAAATATATATATATATATATATATAAATATATATATATAAATATATATATATATATATATATATATATATATATATATATACATTAAAACTTAGGAAGCATAACTAGATAAAGAAATTAAATAAATCTAAAATAAATAAAAATAACCTAATACAAATAAACAAAATAATACATTTGAATTAATTGAAAGATTATATATTCCTAAATAAAAAAATAAAAATAACACGAATGTTTGTAACTCTAACTAATTAACTACAAATTATTTTAAAGACGTTATTTTAAACACCATTTTTATTTAAAATGAAAAAGTTTTTGTTATATATAGAAATCCTGTTACCCCTTATTTAACCGAAAAAGTAATTATTAAAAAAAATATATAAAAAATATTTTTTCAAAAAAAAGAATTACGATAACATTGTAATTAGTTTGGACAAAAATAATTCTAAAGAATAAATAATTAAATTTTTGAAATTTTTCGATGGATTTATGAAAACAAAAGACGAATAACAATATATTAATTTCCTAATTGACAATTCTGTTTAATAAAGTATAAAAGAATTTGTAAATTAAAAAAAGATTTAAAATAAATAAGTCGATTTTATTTTTAAATGTTAAAAAGTAGTCCCTGAAGGTTTTTTTTTATTTAAAAATAAAATAAAACATAATATTAAACAAAAAAATAAAGGAAATTAACATGGCTTTTTTACTGTTGTAAATGAATATAATTTAATTTTTTGTCCTTTAATAAATAGTATAGACTAGAAAATAATCGAATGTAAACTAAGTGATGTAAAATGTATTTTAAAATACAGGTACTTAATGAAACATATAGGAATAGAAATATGGCTTTATAATAAAAAGAGGAGTTTATTATTAATTTTTGACGATAATAAAATACAATAATCTGTATTCGATTTTTTAGATAAAAATTGTAATAAGGTTCAATAATATGGAATGACAAAAGATTAAGTATAAAAACTTTGGATAAATAGAAGTATATCTAATTTTGAATATATAATGTATTTAAATACTATAGCTAATAGATCTTTTAATGATATTAGTGCTTATCCTGTTTTTCCTTGGGTCGTTTAAGATCATAAAACAAATAATTTAGAATTGGATAATCCTGATTTTTTTAGAGATCTTTCAAAGCCTATAGGAGCTATAAATAAACATAGATTATAAAAACTTAAAGTATTAAATATTTATATTTTTTTTTATATATTATTATATTTTAATTAGGATTTTTATACAAATATTTATTAAGAAAAACACAAAAATGCAGAGGGTTATATATACCCAACTCATTATAGTTCACCTGGATTGATAGTTTATTTTTTGATTAGAAAAATACCTGAGTTTGTAATAAAATTATAAAATGGAGTTTTTGGACCAAGTGATAGGATTTTTAGAAGTGTAGAAAATACATGGTAAGCTACATTAAATTTAGAAGCTGATTTCAAAGAATTAATTCCCGAATTTTATTATTCAGATGGAGATTTTTTAGTTAATAATGAAAAATTAGAACTTGGTATTACACCGGAAGGAGAATCTATAGATGATGTGATATTACCTAACTGGGCACATGTAAAATATTATTAATGTTATATTTATATATATTTAATTATAGAGTATACATGATTATATATAAAAAATGAAGATTTGCTTAGAAAGCGATTATGTAAGTGAAAATATAAATAATTGGATAGATTTAATTTTCGGGTATAAATAATAAGGTGAAGCAGCTAAAAAAGCAAATAATTTATTTTATCCTTTAACGTATGAATAAAACGTTTAATGGAATTAATATAATTCACCTTATGAAAAAGCTGCTATGGAAACTTAGGTTACTGAGTTTGGATAATGTCCTGTTTAATTATTTTAAAAGGCTCATCCTTAAAGAAAAAGTAAATTTATAAGTAAAAATCTATCCAATTGTGACGAAAAGACTTATGTGATGATGTGTTAGAAATTTTAAGAAGCATAATAATAAGTAAGATATAAATAAATATAAATATATATATATATATATATATATATTTATTATTTATATATTTTTAATATTAAAAAATAATAAATCATAGAATATAAAAATGAAAGAAAAAATAAATTAATTAAATGAAGTAATAGAAGGTTATAAAAAAGATTAAAATAATAAAAATAATAAAGAAAATATAGAATAAAAAAATATTTAAATTTAATAATTGTAAAATAATATTAAATTAGTTTTGGCTTAAAATGAGAATTTAAATTAATTCATTAGAGGATTTTAGTAAATAAAATTTATTATTTTTATATTTTTTTAAAAATACTATATATAGGGAAAAAGTAGACCAAGAAAGTAGTATTAATAGTAATTTCTTGCATACAGGTGAAGATTAATAACCTTAACCTTTAAATGAGAATGATTTTGATTTTTTAAATGATACAGGAAATTCAAATAATTGATAGATTTATTTATTTTAATTTTAAGATAAAAAAAATTAAATAATTTTTATTCTATATATATATTTATTAATACATATATTATTTATAAAGACAAATTAATAATTGTAAAACAGAAAAATTATAAAAAAAAATATGTATGTTTAATATATATGATATTGATATGTATACTTTTTAATTAATTATATTTAAATATTAAATATAATTAATTAAATTTAATAAATATAATATATTTATTTTAAATATTTTTAATAATCAAATTATAAAACTTAATTAATAATTAAAATTTATAAATATTTTTATTTTTTTTATAAAAAATTTAAAATATTTAATTTAAGTATATTATTAAAAAAAATAATAAATTATTTATGAATATTAACATTTTAATTATTGTATCTTTAAAGAAATTATTATAATTATATATTATTTATAATTTATGTAATTTATTTCTATTATAAATATTACAAAAAATAATAATATACATATTTTATGAAATATATATTAAGAAAATAATTTAGAAATAAAAAAAAATTTAACAAATGATATTTAAAAAAGATATAAAAAAAAAATATAAAAAAATATAAGAATATAAATATATATATAATGCATATATATATATATATATATATATATATATATATATATATATATAATGTTTTTATCATTCTTTTACTATATTTTCTTCTTATTATTTTTATTATTAGTTGTTTTATAGCTATTATTTTTACAGCTTCTCTAATTCATTTTTTCTTTCTGCTTATTTAGCATTTTATATTTCCTAATAATCTGCAAATCTAAAGAATTATATTTTTTACGCTGTTAAATCATGTTTTAATATAATTTCTGTTAATTCCCTTTCTGACTCAGTCATTTCATATAACATAAATTAATTATTTATTTCCCTTTCTCTTTCTCTTTATGTTTTGCTAAATTTGCATCCTCTAATATCTAATTTTGAAAGTGAATAATTTTTAGTAAACCCTATTTTTAATGTTTCAAAACTACTATCACCAAAATCATTATTTCCTATAACTAAAATCTTTAAACAGCACATAGAATCTGCTATATAATCACTTAATTTTAGTGCTGTCTATATATAATATATAAATATATATATATATATATATATATATATATATATATATATATTTATTGTTATTTATTTTAAAGAAAAATATTAAATAAAATCAATAAAAATTGCAAAAAAGTTTATAATAAAAAATACATTTATTTACTTCATAATCAAATTAATTTCCTGATACATCCAATTCTTATAGTGTTTTATTTATTACTAAATCTTAAAATAGTTTCTTTCCCGCTTTATCACCTAAATTATTTAGTTTTAAGCTCAAATATTATAATGTTTTATTAATCTTTAAAGCTTAAGCAAAATAACGCGAACCTTCATAACCTATTAAATTATTCGATAAATTTAAATATAATAATATTTCATTTCTCATTAAAAATTTTGCTAATCTTCTTGCACTAATTATATAATTTTATTTTAAAATAATAATATATAAAATACCCTTAATCTTCTAATTTATTATGAGATAAATTTAATTCTATTAAAGAACTATTCATATTAACACCAGCCATAATAAATCTTAATAAATCATCATCTATAATATTAGCAGATAAACTAACAGAAAGCTACATATATATTAAACAAAAAATAAAATATATATATATAATTATATTTACCAAAGCTTAACTATTTTTTATAGCTTCTCCTAAATTTGCAGCTTCAGAAAGTTTCATTCCAATACTCTATCTATTATATTCCATTCCTGTATATTTTAAACCATAAGAAACTTACAAAGAAGTTAAAAGTGGCAAATTTTTACAAATATACTCAATATCCAAAGGCTAATTAGTATTTTAAATATTAAGAGTATGTATCCAACTATAAGCCACTCTTAATTCACTTTAAATAATTTATTTTCTTTCATTTTCATCCGCACTTTATACATTAACAAGAAATTCTTCCATATATCTTTCCAAATATGCGACTTTCCAAGAACGCCCATGATCTTCTATATTTATTGGCTTATGAGATGTTCCCCATCTATTTTTACATGATCTTTACCAATATGCTTCTTAGTATATATTTTAAGCTGTTATTAAAATAGGAAGATCTGTAGTTGTTTTTTAAATAATCTATTTAATTTTATTTTTTTAAAAAAAAAATATGTTTTTTTAATTTTAACTATGTCTTTTATATGCTCAGGTAAACCTGTAAGTTCAGGATAAAGATGAAAATTTTTAGCTACTGTATCAATTGCAATATTTTTTAATAATGGAAACTCATCTTTTTTAAAAGGGTCAGGTTAATTATTAGCACGGGCAAGTACTAATTTTTTGGCTAACATGTTTTTATTGTTTTAATGTTATGTTTTTATTTTTTTAAAAAAAAGTTATATTAGTTATAAAAAAAAATTATAATAATAAAAAAATTTTGATATTAATTTTAATAATTTTTCTAAAATATAATTAAAAAATCATAAAAAAAAAAAAAATAATATGTATATATATATATTTATATATATATATATATATAATATATATATTTATATATATCCATTAATATATTTATATATATATATTTTTTATATTTATATTTATATTTAATATCTTTACCTAATTATATTTTTTTGTAATAACATCTTTTTTATTATTTTTTAATTTATATTATTATATTTTTTTTATTTATTTATCTTTAAAATTTATATAATTAACAAGTATCTTATAATTTATTTTTTCTTACTATTTTAAAATATTTATTATTTTTATATATTTCATTTATTTAATTATCTTTCAATCATTTATTTTTTTTAACCATATTTTTTGTTTAATTTGATATTAAATCTTTTTAATTACTTACAGTTTAACGATTGAATATCATTTTTTAATTTAAAATATTATAATTTTTATTTTTATCTATTTCTTTTAATAATGCCAATTCACTTTTCCTAACTAATTATTTCTATTTATTATTTATAAATGATTCTGAACGTGATTAAAAAAACCGTGTATTTCTGTAATCAACAACATATATAATTAAAAATTATTTTATAATAATAAATAAACCTTGAATTTGATTTTTTGCTTTATAAAATCAAAGAATAATTAAAACTATCATTATTTTCTGAAAAAATGCATTACCTTAAAAAAAATAAAAAATATTTATTTATTTTTTTATAAAAAAAAAAAAAACCATTATTTTTATTTAATAAATTATTAATATCTTTAATCTATTTGTTCAATTTTTATTTATGTTGGCCTTATAATTTATTAATTAATTTACCAAACTTCTAAATGAATAAGCTATTAAATATATAAATATTATAAAAAAATAAAAGATTAATACTAAAAAATTCTATAATGTATAATTTTCCCCATTTTCATAATAATTGTCTTCCTGAATAACATAAGATTTTTAATTCATTTAACAATCAATCCATATTCTATAATTTTTATTAATATTATTAAACCCAAAGCCAATACCTTTGTCACTTAAAATAGCATACTTTATATCTTTTTCATTTTATTTATTTATTTTTTTTGAATACAAAGGTAAAAATATAGGCGAAATTTAAAATAATTAACATTATTCTGAACCTTAATAAACCTAATCTTTTTTCCAAATTTCATTATTATAAGCAGCATATATATACTAATTATTCTAAGAAGATTTACATGAATTTGTTTCTATAAATTTTAAAAGAATTAAACTTGGACCTTAGAATTCTATAAAATATATAATTTTATTTTCTTAGTTAATAATTATATATAAGAACTTACATAAAAGTTTTTCTTTTAAAATTTAAAAATTTAATCCTAATTCTCCTGAAGTAAATACTTATTAAAATGAAGTATTTTTTAATAAAAAAGACTCATTTGTTAATGAAATTGCACTTAAATAATCTTAATTAAAAAGAATAGATTATTTTTATAAAAAAGGTAATTAAAAAAGCATAGGTTGTCCCAAAAATTTAAACTCATAATAATTTCTTAAAATATCATTTATTATTTTATATTTTTAGTTTAAAAAATTTAATATTTCTGTTGGAGATTTAATAATTTCATTTTCTTTTTTTTTATTAATTTAATAAATTTGTATATAATTATTATATTATAATCAATTATATAATATTAAAGAAAAAAATATGTACTAAAAAAGGTTTTCAATAATATCTCTGTATTAATAGTAATATTATTATTATTAATATTATTAATATTTTCTAAAATTAAATAAATATCCTTTAAAATAAAATATTTAAGTATGATATAAGATTTATAATAAATATTAAAAAAAAGTGATAATATATATATATATATATAAATATATATATAAATATATATATAAATATATATATATAATATTATAATATATATATATTATATTTATATATATTTTTTTTTTAAATAAAAATATTTTTACTTATAATATTTATTTCATTTCTTATATTGTTATTTGTACTTCTTTTTGATAAGTATTATATTTTTATTTTATAATTATTTCAAAAATGGTTTCTATATAAAACATTTTTTTATTATTCATATTTATTAAAATATTAGAGCCTAAATATATTATATTTTTTATAAAAAATGATTTTTTTTATTTACAAAAATTATAAAATGTATCATATGTTATATGTTGCTAATTTAGAAATAATTCCTTAACTAAAATTTACTTTAATAAATATGTTTCACTAAAATACTCTAAAAAAGCTTTTTATTCAATTATATTTTTGTATTAAGTTCTTTTTAATTTTTTTAAACTTTATTTTTTTAATATATAAAAGAAAAAATACTCAGGATAATTATTTGAAAGTTAAATAAACAATTCAAAAATTGTATTTTTTTAAGATTTTTCTAATTATTAATTTTTATCTTATCTAGAAGATAAACATATATTATTTCCCATTTTTAAAATATATTTTTTTTAATTAAATACTTAAAAGTTATTATGTTTAAAAAAAAAAAAAAAAATCGATATAAACAATATTTTAATTTTTTAAGAAATTAAATAAAAATTTGTATTAAATTATATTTTTTTAAAACAATAAATTTAATAAATATCAAAGTGATTTTTTTAATTTTTATTAATAATAAAAAGTTTTAAAAAAATAATTAAAAAAGTTTTTAAAAATCTAAAAAGATAAACTATTTATTATTAAAAAATAAAATTAAAAATGATTAAATAATTAAAAATATATATATATATATAAAATTTATCTATATTTATATATTATATTAATATATAATTTTTAAACTAAATATTATAACATTTATTAATTATTTAATTAAAGATTAATAAAATAATTTTATAAACTTATAAATTTATTTAAAATTATATATTATATATAAAACTAATTTTTTTTAAATAATATATAATATTTATAATAATAAATTTCTTATTTATATATTTATTTTAAATTTATTAATAAATTAGATTTTAAAATTATAAATTTTAAAACAAATTTAAATTTATAAAACAAATAAATTAATAAATAGGAATAAAAGAAACAAAAAATTTAAAGATTAAATATATTAATATTAATAAAATTTAATTTCCTGATTTAAAAACCATTATTTTAATTTTATTTACTTTTTTAAAATAAAAGTTTTATTAATAGAAATATAAAAATAGTTTAGTAATAACATATAAAAAAACTATAAAAAAATAATTTAAAAAAAAAAAATAGAAAAAATTTAAATGAATAATTTTTTTATATTATATTATAATTTTTCTAAAATATTTTTTTAAAAATAAATAAAATAATAATATAATCTTTCAAAAAAATTTAAAATTGCAAAAGAAGCATTTAAAAAATGTTTTAATTATCAATAATATTTTTTAGTATAGCAATGTTATGTGTTAGTATATACTTAGTATTAATAGCAAAAGAAAAAACTAGAGTTTACTTTAAAAAAGGCAAAAGATTAAGTGAAATCGAAGATTAATATGATGCTTTGTGTAGTTAACTTTAAGATTTAAAAGTAAATATAATTTATATATATATTTTTAATAAAAAAAAAAAAAATTAATAAATTATAGCATCATTATTATTGGGCAAAATCAAATTAAGAAAGAGAAAAAGAAAAAGCTATGGAATAATAAATATTTAGCACTGAAGATAAATTAGATTTATTAAAAGAAGAATATGAAAATACGAAAAAAGGAAAAACAATACCATTAAAATAAGTTAGTAATAAAGCCTAATGAAAAAGAAAATATATATAATAAAATTATAAAATAAAATCCATTTACATTTTATATTGGTTTTTTTTATTTTTGTTAAAAAAATAACTTTTATAAATATATTTAAAAAAAAAAATTATATGTATAAATATATTTGATAAAATATATATTAAAAATATATTTATTTTAAGAATAGATATACTTTTAAGTATAAATATATATATATATATATATATATATATATATATATATATATATTACTAATATTTTTTTTTTTTTTTTATTTTTAATTTACATATTTTTGATAAAAATAAAATATATTTAAAACAAAATAAAATCTAAAATATATTTAAATAATTTTTATTAATTTTAGTTTTAAAATTAAAATATTATATATATAAATTATTATTATTTAAATAAAATTAAATTATTTTTATAAATACTATATCATTATTATAACAAATTATTTATTTTTAATCTTAGTGATTACTTAATATCTAATTTTTAACTTAAATACAAATTAATTTATAATTATAATATAAATATAAAATATTTTATTTTATTTATATCAAAAATATAGATAAAATTATGTGTTTTCCTTAATTTCTATAAATTAGGTAAAAAAATCATACGATTTTTTTTTTTTATGAAGATATTTTTATATTTATATTTCTTTTATAAATTAATTTTATATTGTAACATAATTTAAGCAAAATAATGATTATTTTTTTTTTTTCTAATATTTTATTATATTATTAAAATTTTTTTATATTTTAAATAATTATTTCATTTTTATTTATTTTTAAATTAAAAAAATAATTCCTATAATATATTTTTATCATAAAATTGTTAATATAAATATCCAAAAATAAAAATTTATTTATTATATTTAAATATAAAAATAAATAATAATTTATATATTAAAAAAGCATGACTTAAAATCCTTACACAATTGCTTATGAATAATCTACAAACCCAGAAACACGTGAAAAATTCTGGCGTGAATAAACTTCTTTAGTAGACTGGTTTTCGCCTCCCTAAATAATTCTTGACAAAACCCACTCAAACCCTGGTTTTTGGCGATGGTACCCTGATTCTAAATTAAACCTATCTTACAATTGTATAGATCGTCATTTAATAGACTAGCCAAACTAACCTGCTTTAATACATTACTCTTCATATACAAAAAAAGACAAAATATACACATATAGTCAACTACATACTGAAGTATCTAAGTTAGCTGGTGTATATAAAAAACTAGGTGTTAAAAAAGGTGATAGAATTATAATATATATGCCTATGGTTCCTGAAGCTGTTTTCGGTATGTTAGCTTGCGCAAGAATAGGTGCAATTCACTCTGTTGTTTTTGGAGGTTTTTCTGCTTTTGAACTAGCTGGAAGGATAAAAGACTCAAATCCGTCTTTAATATTATCTGCTTCTTGCGGTATAGAACCCCATAAAATTATTGATTTTAAGGAGATATTAGATGAAGCTATAATTTTGGCTAATAGATAGGATAATATTAAGATTTTATTATTATAGAGAAGTTAATAAATATCAAATAAACTATAACCAAATAGAGATTATGATTATTAAACTGCAATGCATTTCGCAGAAACTTCAGATTGTGAAGTTGTTAATGGAACAGATCCTTTATATATACTTTATACATCAGGTACTACTGGAGCTCCTAAGGGAATTGTTAGAGATACTGCCGGAACCGCTGTTGCTAGCTCTTGGACAATGAAACATATCATGGATATACATAAAGGAGACGTTTATTTCTCTGGAAGTGATATTGGATGGGTTGTGGGACATCACTTTATAGTTTATGGACCTTTATTAAGAGGAGCTACAACTATTCTATTTGAAGGTAAACCTACATACCCTGACCCTGGTTAATATTGGTAGATCATCGAGAAGTTTAAGGTACATAATAAACATATTTAATATATTAAATATATATAAAAAAAAGGTTAAAGGTCTATATACAGCCCCTACAGCTCTAAGAGCTATCCGAAAAGAAGATCCAGAAGGGAAATTTATATTGAAATCTGATATTTCATCACTATAGGGAGTTTCTATGGCTGGGGAAAGGTGCGATGTGCCCACTTATGAATGGATTTAGTCTCATCTAAAAGTTTTTATAAACGACAATTACTGGTAGACTGAAATTGGTTGGATAATTAGCTGTAATTATAAAAACTTGCACACTTTTCCTATAAAACCTGGCTCTGCAATTAAACCTGCACCTGGCTTCATAGTACATATTTTAGATTAAAATAATAATATAATAAATGAAGCAGATAAATTGGGAAAAATATGTATAAAATTACCTTTACCACCTTCTTTTATGCTTACTTTATATAATAACGACGAGGCTTTTGTTTAAAAATATTTAAAAGATGCCCCTGGGTATTATTAATCTGGAGATTGTGGTTACTTCGATAATGATGGATATTTAAATGTTATGACAAGGATCGATGATGTCATAAATACTGCAGGACATAGACTATCGACTGCTTAAATAGAAGAATGTCTGTTGAGTCATAATAGTATAGTAGAGTCAGCTGTTATAGCCAAAAAGGATAATTTCAAAGGAGAAATTCCAGTTGGATTTGTAGTGGTTAAATAGGGATATAGTTTCGATAAAAAAATACTTGAATAAGAATGTGTGGCTATTATCAGAAAATTAATAGGACCAGTAGCCAGTTTCTAACACTGTATTGTTGTGGAAAAATTACCGAAAACTAGAAGCGGTAAAATACTAAGGTATACATTAAAAAGAATGGTAGATGGGCTTTAAATTGAATAAATTCCATCAACTATTGAAGATGCAAGTGTTTTGAATGTTATTAAAAAAAATATAGAAGAATATGAGGGTTTCGGAAAATAAGATAAGGATAATATAATTTATAAAGATTAAATTGATAATATTAATGGAAATTATGCAGAATTGGTTAATGAAACATGAATTATAGTACATTTAAACATTTTATGTTTATTTTTAAAAAAAATATTTAAATTTTTTAAAAATAATTTTATTATTTTTTTTTTGGAAATAAAAATATATATATATATATTTTTTTTTTTCTTCTTTTTTTTTATTTTTTTTTCATAAAGTTTATTTTTATATAAATTGAAACCAATTTTCCTTTAAAATATTTTATAATTTTATATTCTAAAAAACTTCTTTTTATCTTTTAATTTAAATCCTTTTTCTTAAACAAGTTTGTATTCTTTTTCGAAATCTTCCATATCTTGTTTCTCATCTTCTTTAATAATATTTAATTTAATATTACTTAAATATACACTTTCTTATAAAATATTAAATATTTATTAATGCAGTTTAAACTAATTTAAGTCTTTCATAAATAAATTTAAAACCTCTTAATTATCTAACAATTAAGTAGAATCAATTGCCTTAATTAAATCCACAATATGTACTTTAGCTTATTTTATAATACTATCTTCTCCTTCTAAATTTGATATTTAATCAATATTTTTAATCAATTACCCATTTATTTAATAATATTTCTAATATTTAAAGGGATTAGAGTGTTCTTTTGTAAAAATAACTTTCGAAATTTACTAGAAATCATCTTAATTATATTAAGTTTCTTTATTTTCTGTTTTTTAAGAAAAATTACTCTAAGGACTTCTCGAAAAAACGAGAGGAAGATTATTTTCAGTTTCATAATTTAATAAATTTTCCAAAACTTATTATTCAATATCATAAAAAGACTTTTTTTTAATTTAATAATTTTTTTTTTTCTTTTCTTACTTAGTTTACTTATTCTATTTTTTTTGGAAATTAAATTTTCCGAGTTTATTGTGTAAAAATTCTTTTTTTATATTATTTCTAATTTATTTTTTCATTTTATTATATATATTCTTCATTTATTATTTATTCCTTTGTTATTTATTTCTAATATGTAATATCTTATTCTTATTTTATTTATTAATTTATTTTTTGATTTTATTTAGTTTATTCACCATCTACTTCTATTTTATTTTAATATTTTTTTTTTTTAGTTATTTTTCTTTAGTCTTTTTATTTCATTTAATAATTCTCGTCTATTGAATCTTTATTTTATACATGGTTTTTATTTTCTTTTATAAAAAAAACACAAATATATATATATGTATGTACATATTATTATTTTTATATTTTTTTCATATTAAAAATAAATACATTTTTATAAATACTTTTATTCAATTTTCTATAAATAATCTTATGTAGATTCTATTTCTTTTACTTTTTAATGTATATATTTTTTCTCAGTATTATATAAATAATATTCTTAAACACCATTTAATTAAGATTATAACGGTAGAGGACTTAAAGATGCCATTATTATTATTATTATTATTATTATTATTATTATTATTATTATTATTATTATTATTAACAATATAATAATAAGTAAATAAAAGTTAAATTATTTAATTTTTTACAAATAAAAAATAATATATAAAAAAATTTCAATATATAACTTTATTATTATTATTATATAATATATTATTATATCTATCTTCATCCCTTTCCCTATAAAAATTCTCATTGAAAATTTTACAAACAATTTAATATCCAATTGTAAAAATCCAAACTGCATAAATATAAGCACATGACATCATAAAAAGTTCCATTTCAGTACATTCGGGTGGTTTTTTAAAAAAATACTACTATATGCCAAAAAACATAGTTATTAAATTATATAAAAAAAGTCCACCTATAAATGCAAAGCTTTAAATCGTAACTACTACAGCCCCACAAGATTCTAATAATTTTTAAATTATGTTTAATTTACTTAAACATAATGCTATAATGATAAATGCAAATATTACAGCATTTCCATATAGGACCCAATTTAGGAATTTTTCTGAATCAGTATGTATACATGTATCTTTTTGGTAAACTTTTTTCGTACAAAATGCCAATATTAAAAATATAAAATTATTTAAACGAACTATTTTATTTATATCAATGGACATTATATATTATTTTATATATATATATATATAAATTTTAGAGATAGTTTATTTATTATTATAAAGTTTTATTTATTTGATTTTTTTTTATTTATTTTAAGTAATTTATTCCTAAAATTTTTTTATTATTTTTTTTTAAAAAAATAAAAATGAAAAAAATTATATATATAGCCTTTTTTTCCTTTATATATAAAATATAAATATATACAAAAAATTCTAATATTAAATAAAATTAAACATATAATTTAATCATTTGTTTTTTAACTTCTTTAATAATTCTTCACTATTTTTAAGCCTCAATTTAATATATTATTATTTTCCTTTATTTCCAATTATAAATTAAATGACTCAGTTATATAAGAAGGTTAATAAAACAATTTCATTTTATAATAATATTATTAATAAGTTTTAATGTTATTCAATATTAAATATTAATTTTACAATTAGAATATTATATTTAAGAGATACAGTACTCTTTATAAAACTAAATCAAGCAATTTCCATAAATTCTATAAAAATTGATTATTACCTCCAATAATTTTTATTTTTTTAAAATATTATTTCCAAAAAGGTTACTTTTGCCTCGAAGATATCATATAATCATGAATCGACAGCAAAATAATCTAAGCCAAATATATCTATTAGAGCATTAATTTATTATCTATAAAATTGAAAAAACAGCCCCTTCTAATCTATAAATCATCATTTATTATTTAAAAAATCTTAAAAAAATATGTTATGCATTTAATTGGACATTATAATATGATTTTTATAGTAAAAAGTACAATGAATAACTTTTAAAAAGGCAGTTTTTTATATAAATATATATATATATAAAGAGTTTTTAAAATTTAGACTTTTTTATATTTATATTATATAATTTCATATTTAAAATAATCTGAAATTATACTTATAATTATAATGTTGATATTTAAATATATTTATGACTTTTTAGCAACTAAAAATAGCAATATAAATCATAATTCATTTACATAAAAAAAAGTGAATGTAAAAAAATTTAATATTATTTTATATTAATAGAAATACATAACAAAATAATTTATTTTTAAGATTTTTAATAAATATTTAATAAACTATATAAAGAAAATAAAGAGTGCAAATATATATTTGAAACTGACTTTTTAATTTAAGATATTAATTATTATTTATTATTAAATATATATATATATATAAACAAAATATACATTTAATATATTCATATATTTATATAAAAAAAATTTAAACTAATTAAAAATAATAAATAATAAATTATATTTACTTGTTTTTCAAATAATTAAATAAGAAAGAAAATTTTAATAAAAATTATTTTATTATAATTAATTATAAAATATTTATTACATTATTTTATTATTAATTAATATATTTAAATATATATATATATATGTATATATATATATATATATATATCTTAATAATTATATATATATATATATATTATTTTTTTATATATAAATATTCAATAATAATATATCATTTTTTATTTATATTTTTTTAAAATTTATTTATATAAATTTTTATTAATATATATATATTTTGTTATAAACTAATCTCAAAATTTTAAATAAATATATATATTTTAATATTTAGATATAAAATCTATAAAAAATTATAATTTATTATATCTTATTTTTCTCTATATATATATTAAATTTTTACTTATTAATTTTTATATTTAATATTTTTAAATACTTCTCATAATATATCATATTAAACAATTTATTTTATTTATTTGTATTTTTTAATATGTTTTTTTTAAGAATTTATTATTTTCTAATTTTACCTTATTCTTTAAGACTTAAAATTATAAAAATGACATTAAAAATTTTATTTATTAACTAAAGAATTATATTTATTTGTTAAAATATTTTTTTAATTTTAATATATTCTTTATTACTTTTTTATTATATAATAAATTGTTTATTTACTTTTTCTTTATTTTTTTTTTAAAAAAAATTAATATAATATTTTTTTATAAATATAAAATATATTTTGATCATCAAAAAAATGATATATTTCATTAAATATGATTAAAAATGCTTTAATATTGTTAAACATTATTATTTTATATTAAAAAAATATTATATCTTAAAAACAAAATATACTTTAAACTTAAAAATATCATAATTTGTAATATTTTTAAAATATAAAAGTAAAAAATTAATAAAAATATCTAAATAATAATATCAAATAATAATAAAAGAACCATATTTTATATGAGTATTTTAACTATAAAAATATTTTATAAATAATTTAATATTAAAATTAATAACTAAACAATATTTATCCTTTCTATTGTTTTTTAAAATAAATATTTTATATAATTATATTAGAAATAAAAAATGATTGTAAATTATGATTCTTCAAGTGATTCATAAGATTATTAAAATAAAAAAGTAATAAAATTAGAAACAAAAGAATAGCCCAAAATCTAATAAGTTAAAAAAGAATTTTTACCATCATTTTAATCACTTTTAAATACAAATAATAAACTACAATCTTAATTTGATCACTAATTATAAAAAACTAAAAATAATTAGCAATAAAATAATAATGAGGACGAATTAAATATAAATAAAAAAAGAAAATTACCTTAAGATATGAAAGATTAAATATAATGCAATATAGAATAAAAATTCCATAAATTAAATGAATAAAATACATAAACAAAACCCAAACAAAAGCTATTTGTACCCCCATAATCTAAAAATAAAAAATCTAATATAAGTACAGAATATTGAAATAATATATATAGAGTAAAAGTATATATATATATTAATTTTAATTATTGAAATTTTATTTATTTTTTAAAAAAATTAATATAAAAAAAGTTTATTTTAAAAAAAATATAGAAATAATTAAAATTTTTATAACATAATAATAAAACTATAAATAAAAAAATAATATAAATGTATTATTTTTTCATTCATTAATTATATTATTAAATTTACTATAAATAAGTTTTGAACTTTATAAAGACTAAAAATTATTAGCTCTTTAATCTTAAATATTTTAATTAAATAAATTTTTTGAATATCCTTTAAAAGAAGTATAATTATTATCAAGATTAAAAATTTTTTAACTAAATTAGATTATTATTTACATTTAAGATTAAAACCTTAAAGAAAATGTTTATTTACTTTATTTTATTTAGAAAAAGTTTATTTTTCAGTATAATCTTAAGAAGTTTTTATTTATTTGTTTTCATAACAAAAACTAAATTCATTATAATTATTATTATTATTATTATTATAATTATTATTATTTATTATTATTAGTATTATTATTATTAATATTATTATTATTATCTTATTCATTTTTATTATTGCTTTCTGTATTATTTAATAAATTTAATTTTTATTATTTATCATTATTATTATACTCTTATTATTGAATATTTTAGTTTCCATTTTATTTTAAATATTAAATTTTTTAATTATCTTTTTTATTATTTTATTACGTATTATCTATTTTTTATTATTATTTACTTAATTTAATTATTTTATCATTTTATTTATAATCTAAATTTTTACTTTATTCTTATTCAAATGCTAAATATATTTAATTATTTTTTATATTTTGTTATTCTAGTATTATATTACTAGCAGAATAAGCTCTCTAATTTTAAAAATATAAATTCTATTAAAATTTTTAATTATTTATTAATGGTAATATAGAAATTTAAGTATTTTTTCTATAATTAAAAATTTATTCTTTTTATTTATTTTTGATAAATTAAGTATTTTATTATTATTTATTTATTTAAGAATTTTCCATATCTAAATATATAATTTCATTAATTTTATCCCAAAATAATTTCTCAGATTAATGTTTTTTTTAGTTTAAATTTTAATTTTGATAATTATTTAAACTTAAAATATAAGGATATATTTATATGTTTTTTTTTATTACACAAAAAATTAGTTATTGATATATTTAGAATTAACTTTATCATATCTAAATAATGTCTTTTATTAAGCTTAAGTCTTTTTTAAATATAAGTAAAATTATAAATATAAATATTATAATCTATGTTTTTTATAATTTAAATGAAGTAATATTATTAAAAAAATATAAAAAAAGAAAATGAATAATTATATTAATTGATTTTATAAATAAAAATAATCATATAAAAAGAAGTATATAAAATGAAAATTTATTGAATATAAATATATAAATATATAAATATATAAATATATAAATATATATTTTTATATATCTATATATATTTCCATTTTCGATTTACCTATTATTTATTTTCAAGAAATTCATTATCAAATGTATCATTTTTTTTTTCGTTTGATTCTTATTAATAAAATAAGCAGTTTTTTACATGTTATTGATTTTATTTTAATTCATAATTGTATTAATAATAAAAAAATAAAAATAAATATATTTTTATAATTTTATAAATAAAATAAAACATCTGCCTTAATTAAAATAAATATTTAATAAAAATAAAAATATTATATTAACTTTTAAATTTTATTTAATCATTAACAACCTTTATTTTAATATAATTATTTTTATGTATTTTAGTTTTTTTTAAATCTAATTTTTAATATTTATAAAGTAATTTAATTTTAATCATATATATATTAATATTTTTATTTAAAATATATTAATTTTTTTAATATTAATGTGTTTTTATTTTTTGTTGATAATTTTTATTAATATAAAAAAATTAATTTAATATTTAAATTAAATATCAAATATATATAATATATAAATTAATAATTAGAAAAAAAATAATATAATAAATAATATAATATATAAATAAATAATATTAATATTTATATATTTTTAATAAATATATATAAAATATAATATATATAAAACATATCATATATACTATTTTTAATATTTTACAACAAAATTAAAAAAAAAAAAAATCAAATTTCTTCATTATTTTTACTTCCTTTTCTTTTAATTAATTATGTAATTAAATATTCACTCTATACTTCTTCGTTTATCATATTTTTTTTAAAAGATTCTTACTAACTTTATTATATTTAAATATTTTCTTCCTAATTGTTCTAATTATCATCTTTTATATTATTTTGTTTGCTTTCTAAATAATTATTAATTCTCTATTTAATTTAAAAAATAATTAAATATATATATATATATATTATTTTTAAAAATACCTAATATATTTTCTCAATATCATCCTCAATTAAATTACTTTCATTTACTAATATATCATTTTTTTCTTAAAAATACCATTTTTAATCTTCTATTTAAATAACTTTTATTAAAAATCCATTTAAATATTCTGACCATTTTTCATTTAAAAACTCATCAAAATTTGACTCATTTTTATAAATGATTCTCCCTAATTTATTTAAAACACCTCCATATCCTTTTTCTTTACCTGAGTTTCTTAATAAAAATTCCACAAATGAATTTTCTTAAAACAAGATTTATTTAAAATATAAAGATTAATCATTATTTTCTTATTTATATATGCAAAACCCCAATATTTCTTCTAATATAGTTCCAATTTATAAAATTAAAAGATTATTCCATTAAAACTCCAAAATAATTTAAAGGCAAATTTTCAAAAAATTCCTTTTTAATAAAATATGAATAATCTCGAAATTTTTCCATTTAAAAAAACTCGAAAATAAACTAAAAATTTAAACTCTTCCAAAACCAAAAAATTATTTTTTTTTCAATAAAATTACCTATTTAATCTACTAAAATTTCACTATATTTTAAAAAAACGCTTTAAAAAGGAAATTCATTCTTTTTTTCGACAAAAACATCATTTTTCATTTAAAAATTAACCAAAAAAAATATTAAATTAGCCGAATATCCAACTGATAAACTGCATGAATTTTCGTTCAAAATTATACCGAAAAAATCTTCTACAAATACATCCTAAAAAACGTACTCGAAAATATTCTTTTGGGCTATATTTTATGGATTTTTCAAATTTTCTAATTGAAAAATATCTTCAAAAATCTTCAAAATATTCTCCTTTTCATACACATCCCCATTTATAAATTTCTCTTTTAGTAAAAATAACACATATATCCTTAAATCTTTAAATTTATCAAATTAATCTTCCAAATTATACCCCACATTTATTACTAATTCACTTAAAATTTCTTAAAAACTAGCGTTTTTGGCATAATCTACTATATTTTTCAATAAATATTTTTAATCTTTGACATAACTATATAATTCTCCATTTAAAGTTAGTAAAGAATAAAATACTTTAGCAAAATAAGCAATTTATGTTTCATTTGTGAACTTTTTTTCTCCATTAATATAACTAAAAATTTTTTATAAAATCTAATTATTTTTAACTTCAAATACTTCAGTTTAAATTTTAACATCGGTATTTAATTTACTTACTCTTTATTAATTATTTTCTATTTATTTAATACATGAGCGACGTCTGATAGGGATATCATCTTCTTCTTATTCTTGTTCTTATTCTAATTATTATTCTAGTTCTTATTCTTATACTTATTCTTATTCTAGTTCTTATATTTATTATAATTGTTATACTTATTATTATTCTTATTCTTATATTTATTCTTATACTTATTGTTATATTATTTCTTATTCTTATGATTATTGTTATTCATATCCTTATACTTATTCTTGTAAGGAATTTATTGAATTGTTTACTTCTATATTATCAGTTATATTATTTAAATCAAAAAATATATCTTCTATACCTTTTAAGTTAGAATCAAATATTTCACTAGCAATAAAAGGGTATCTAAATTTAATTTTATGTATATATTTACATATAAATAAACACTTTTTATATTGAAATTTAATTATTATAAATATATAATTAATAATAAACAATATAATAAAAATTATTATGATATTTATTAAAAATAACATAATATAAATATATATTTTATATATATATATAAATTTATATATATATATATTATTACTTATATAGTTTTTTTTCATCATCTCCTTCTTCATCTGGAATATCAATTGCATATCTTAGTAATTAATGTAAAATTGTTTTATTTTTTTTCAAACTTTTATTTATATATAAATCTTTTATTTTTATTTTTTAAATATTAAATGGATTACAATTTAATAAATTTTGTAGGGTTTTATCTTATTTCTTTAATTATATTATCTGTTTCTAAAATTTATTCACAAGTTAAATTTTCTTAATTCAATACTTAATCAATATAAGATGTAATTGGGTTTTCCATTTAATATTAAATTTAACTTATTTTTAATATATATATATGTATTTAATTGTTAATATTATTTTTATTTACTCAAATATCATTTTTTTTAATTTCGATATTTTGTTTTATTTGATAATTCTTAAAATAAATTAAATATGTATATTTATATAAAATTATTAGTGGCAATATTTTTTTATAAAAAATAATTAATATTTATATATTAATACATTTTAATTTTTAATATTAATTAATTATATTTGCTAGATTTAAAATAAAATAAATAAAATTATAGTTTATAAATATAGATAATTATTTGTAATCTGAATGATTATTTAAATTATTATAATAAATATATAAATAGATTATTTTAATAATAATTATATATATCTATATATTATTAGTTCTATAAAATATTATCAAAAATCATTTTACTTGAAAATAAATATATTATATAAATAAATTAATTCAAATAAAAAAATTATATATATAAATTTTACATCCTTTTTTTTATTTAGTACGATAAAAAAATATTTAGGATAAAAATTAATATAATAAATAATTTATTTTAAATAAATTAATATCTAATATTAATAATTATCAATTTATGAAATATATACATATTATTTAAATTATTTATTAAAATATATAATTATTATATATATTATTTAAAGAATAGATTATATAATATAAAAAAAAATGTTTAAAACATTAGACGACCTTAAAGGTAAAAATTATTAAAAATGCAAATATAATAAAAAAAAACAGAAAAAAAAGAATAAGATAAAAAGGACAAAAAGAATACTAACTCATATGTTGGTGGTGAAAAAAGGTTTTGCATTATATAATAACTAAAGTTAAACAAAATAAAAAATAAAAAAATAGCGGTTTAGCAGTAGAAAATCCAGACGATTTATAAGCAATAATAGAAAAAGCAAAAAAGTATATATATAATAAACCAAATATATATATATATATATATATAAATATATATATTATATATATTATATATATTTTTATATAATTATACTTATTTAAATATATGTTTAATTTATTTTATAAAGGAATACTTAATAATAATAATAAAGTGGATAAAGACTAGAAACTTAAATAAAAATAACTCTTTATTCCAATGGTTTTACTTTGAATGATGATGGTGAATTCAGAGACTATAATTTACCAGAAAACAAATAATTTATGAAAGAAATAAATTAATAATAAGTTCCAATTGAATTAAGAAAAAAATATCCTCAAGGTTTAGATGTTAGCTTAGAAGATAAAAGGTAATTATATAAAATTAAACAAATTTTTATTAAATAATTTTTAAATATATAAATGTATGGAATTTTTTATTATATATATATATAGATATTTATATATTCAAATTTTTATATATATATCTATTATTGAATTAAATTTATAGTATTTAATATTATTATATATAAATAATTATTATTTAATTTTTATTTATATTGATAAATTTTAAAAATATATAAGAATTTAATAGATAATAAAGAGCGAATATATATTTTATATATATATATATATATATATATATATTTATTTTATATATATTCATTTTTATTTATTTATTATATAATATTATAGATCAGAAGTTTTTAAAATTCCTCCACCACCTTCATATATTGCTTTTTCTGGATAAGGAGTTAGTTTAGGTGCCAATTAATAATAATAATAAGTTCTTACTTAATAGATTTAATAACCTAATTTAAAAAAAGGATAAATAAATGTTGATGAAAATAAACCAACTACTAATATTAAATTAAGATTTCATAATGGAACAGCAATAAATGTCAGAATTAATGTAGACGATACTATTTAAACATTATATGATTATACTAATTCGTATTTATTATAATTTTATATATATAAATATAATAATTATATATATATATATTATAGAATTGCACCTGTTAATGGAAATTTTTAACTCTAAACTGCTCATCCAGTTAAAGTTTTGGATAATAAAAACTTAACTATTAAAGAAGCTGATCTATGCTAATCATAAATCATATAAAAAATATGATTTTTGTTTTATTTTAAAAAATCTATTAAAATAAAAAATATATATTAAAATAAATTTCTTATATTAATTTTTATTTTTTGGAATTTTTTTTTTATATTTAATTTACAACAATAACATATTATTAAATATATATAAAAAAAAAACTATAAATATTATAAGTTTAACTTAAAAAGTATATATATAATTAAATATTATTTTTTATTTTAAAAATATTATTATATATTTGAATATATTTATTCTTTTCTTTTTTTTTTTGTTAATAAAAATTTTATTTATAATTAATAGATTCTTCTTAATACTTTAAATATCTATATATTATTTATACAAAAACAATTTTATAATATTTTCTATTTATTTATTAGTAAATAACAAGATTAAAATATTTTTACATTTAAATTAAAAAAAAAATTCTTAATCTATAATTATATTTCTAAATTTCATCATATGAAAGAATAGTCCAAAAATATATTATAAGTCTATTATTAAATAATAAAAGATAAAAAGTTATCCTATTAAAAAATAAAAAAACATATTATTAACCTACTATATGATATATTAATTTTAAATAAACATATATATATACAAATAATTAAACCATTTTTTTTTAATCATTTATATATTATATATATTCTAAAAAAAATCATAATTATAAACTATCTCTCCTTTTTTAATAAAAATTTAAATATTTTACAACATCTCAGTATAATTTTAAGTATTATCTTTATCTTCTTTATCTTATCTAATATGAGATTTCTATAAACTAGGTAAAATTTCTTTATTTCTCTTTAAAAAATACATTTAAATTTATTAATTTAACTCATTTAAATTATTATCCATTTAATTAAAAAAAATGATAAAATTATCATTCTAAAAAACTGGAATTTCCCCTAAATTCGAATAATCAATTTTACTCCAATCTTTAAATAATTTACTTAATTTTTAATTAATTATTAATTTTTTCCTTTAAAAATTTTACATTTTATCATTAAATTTCAACCTGAATTCTCCAAATTTTTAAAGCAATTTTTATTCTATTTAATTAACCAATTCCAGTCCTTTTTTGTTTTTCCTTTCTAAATTTTCATATTCTTCTTTTATAATATCTAATTTTTCCTATAATTAATCTTCATATTTATATTTTCCACTCGTCAATTTATCAACATTTACTAAAACATGCAAATTATATTGAATTTCTTTATTTTTAATAAACTAAGCCTATTTATACCCCAAATCATAAAACAAGCCTAAATTTTTTAAACAAAAATACTTAAAATCAATTTTCTCATTTTTCCAACTTGCCAAAAACAACGTTTGTCTATCATATACACTAAAAAAAAACGAGAAATTAAATAGATTTTTCTAATATTCTTCTAATTATTAATATTCTTTTAAATTTAATTCTTCTCTATTAAAATTTTTTTGGTCCTCGGAATTAACTAAACACATAAATTTTACTAAACCCTAATAATCTAATAAATTTCCTTAAATTTTAGTCAAATTCTTTAAATTAAGAGCAAAAACTCTATTAAAATACACAAAAACAATATCATAATTAATATCATGAAAATTTCCAAGAATTTTCGGAGTTTAATTATCCATCCATTTTTTTTAAAACGAACAATCTAAACCAGTCTAAAGTAGTATTTTTTTCAAAGGACACATAAATTTAACTTTACCATATTTAAAAAGCCTAAAAAAGCAAATATCATAATCAAAATATTTCGGTAAAACAGGAGTAACTGAATAAAAGATAGTTAATCTTGAATAATTTTTCATAAAAAATTCTAATTTAAAATTATCATATTTCTCTATAAACCGTGTAGATTCCGTTAATATAAAAACATGAAAACATTCCTCTGTATTTTAAATTTTGTGTATTCTTTTATATATTGAACCATGATTTGTTCTTTTGCTTTCTTTATCTACTTAACAATTTATAGTTTTCAGGTTTAAATCTAATTCAAGTTGTTAAAAGACATTTTCCTATACATATAGAGTTTTTCGATCTTAAGAATAATTAGAATAACTTATAATTTTGCAAATTACTTATAATAATTCTTTAAAATATTTGGTTTTTTCCTTATCTATATTTTTTTTTCATAATAATAAACTTACTTTTAAACTACTTCCTTTAAATGAAATATTTTAATAGCGTCTATATTTTCCTAGCCAATTAAAAAAGGACATAAATAATATATATGGCCAAAAGAATCTAAAAAATAAACTGATAAAAAATCTAAGTCTACATATTTATTATTATCATCGTTTCCGAATTCGAAATCTACTAAAGATGATTAATTAGCTATAATTTTTAAATTTAGTTTAAAAATATTTTTAAGTTCTAATTTATTATCTATATCAAGTTTTATTTAAAAAACATGGAATTTTCTCTAATTGCAAATCACAAATAAATTGTCTTCGTTTAATTTCTAAAATTTAACACAACGAATCTCGGAATTATCAAACAAAAAATTCTAGAAATTTAAACATTTTTATTTATCAGATTTTTATTTTAAATTATATACATATATCTATTTCTTTGAATATATACAAATATTAGACTTTTTTGGAGATATTATTATTTAAAATTTCTCTCTTTTATATTTCTTTATTATATTTGTATTATATCTATCTATTTTTTCATTATTTAAATTCTAACTTTCATAATATAAAGTACTTCTTATAAGTTATAAATTCATTTTATTATTTACCATTTAAAGCAAAATAATACAATCACCACATATTATGGCATTTTAACTATTTGGTATTGTGTTTTATATTTATTATTTTAATATATCTAATTCTGAGCTTTCTTAATATTTGTTTTCATCTTATTATTAATTTTATTATTTTTAATTTTCTTCTATTTATTAATTTTCGAAATCTTTTTAATTATTTTCTTATACTTATTATAAATTATTTTTTTGTATTTATTAATTATTTTAATATACTTTTAAATTATTTTCTTATTATTAATCATTATTTATTTATTATTAGATATTTTATGATTATTTTATATCATTTTCACATTATAATTATTAGTGTATTATATATTATAAAATATTTTTTTAAGATTAATTATTGTTTATTTATAATTAATCATTTAATTATTATTATTAACTATTTACTAATTTAAAATTCTTTACTTATTGTTAATAATTTCGTATTTATTAATTTTAATCTGTTTGTTATAATTATTGAAACTATTATGTAAAAAAAAATCCAGTTTGCATTTTTATTTTAATTTTTTGCTTAAATTTATAAAAAAAAAAATATTTTTTTTTTATTAAATATAAAGAAAAATAAACGTATTAAGAAATATATTAAATAAATAAAGTATAAAAAAAAATATAAATATAAATAAAAATATTTAAATTATAATTTTTAAATTATAATTAAAAATATATACATATATATTAAAATAAAAAATAAGGAATTTTAGCTAAACTTAAAAATAAAAAAATATATTTAAAAGAAATATTAAAATATATTTATTATAATGAATTTAAAAAGATATTATTTAATTTTTCTAATTAAATAAAAATTGTAGAAAATAAAAAAAAAAATTTCGAAATATATATATATATATATATATATTATATATATATATATATATACATATATATTTTTATATTTATATTATTTAAATTTAATATATTCACATTATTTAACAATCCGCTCTTTTTTTCTTATTTTTATTTATTTTCATTTATAGTATTACTTGTTTCATTTGTTTTTTAAATATTTTATTTTATAATTTCCTTCTGTTCTTATTATTCATTTTTTTTCTATTATATAGCTTACATTACATTAACATTTTTTATCACTTAATCTCTTTAAAAATTTCCTATTACATCATCATCATCATCTGAGAAATTATTATTTACTTCATTTTTTGATACTTCTTCGCTTTAACAGATTGCTTCACATTCTTTTATAAATTCGTCCTCATTAGAAATAAGATCACAATTTATAGGGATATTTTTAACTTCTTCTATTTTCTTATAATTAAATGGTATAAGTATCCAATCATAAACATAATCTTAAATATAACCCTCTTTAATTAATCTTTCTTTTAGAATTTACCTTAAATAATAATAATCTGGTTTTTCTTCAAACTATAAATTTCTACAATATTACAAAAAATATTTAAATTCAATTGGAATACCTTTACATAGTTAATCTAAATTTACATTTTTTTTTATTTCTTTGATTTTATTATACCTCTCTTCTTTATTAATTATATTGACATCTATCCAAGGTAAACTCCCCTTTAAAAAGTATACTAAAATATACCCTAAACTTTCCAAATCATCTCTTCTAGATAATTCATATCCTTTATGAGAATTAATACTTGTATATTTAACAGTACCTAAATATATATATATATATATATATATATATATATATATATTTTTATAAAAAATAACATTTAAATATATACCTATTAAAGGCTTGTTTTCTCTATATGGAATATGATCATATGTCCTTGAATCCTTATATCTTTTCGATAAACCGAAATCTATTGTGTATATTTTTTGTAGATTTTTTCCTCTTCCTATTATGAAGTTCTCTGGTTTTAAATCCCTATGTATATAAGACTTAAAATGTAAATATTCTATATTTAATATCATTTAATCAGCTAGCATTAATACTGTTTTTAATGAAAAACGTCCTTTACATTAATTTAATAATTCTTCCAAATTTTATCCTAATAACTCAGTCACTAAATAATTATAATCACCTTCCTAACCACACCAAAACATTGAACAAATACCAATCCCTCCTTATAGGTTTTAAAGTATTTTTCCTTCATATA